GGGGGGGGGGCAAGCATTGTACCAGTAGAAAAATCCAGCCTACCAATTCACTTGAAAGTGATCACATGAGTGAATATATAGGCAGTGCAAAGATGGCTCTCTGCACTGTAAGCTTTATGAACATTATACAAGTACATAAGCTACAGATCAGCCCATACAAGAAGAATAATTGGTAAATGGTGATGGGTTGGATGTGTTCAGTCGCCTCTGGCTTTTCCCCTCTTTCTGCTGTGGCATATCACTGTGACTGGTGGATCTATGTTGAAAGATCTCCCCATAATGTTCCCATGCAGCTGGGCACACAGTTACAGATAAATCGCCACTAGAATAGCAGATAGATTCCACAATCTGTTAGGTGATTCCTCACTCCAACATTTCAAAAACACTGAATATAGTTCTGAGTGGAGTGATGTGTAAGATGTCACACAGCTGCTGCATATAACATATGTAGGGCCTTTAATCTTCAGGACATCTTAGTACTTGTAACTTACTGTATTGTTCTCATTATTCATGGCTTCCTTCTTTGTCATAAACTCTGATATGTTTCTTATAAGCACTGAAACGGTGTTACACCAAATGCACATAGATCACTTTTGACAGTTAGAACCATATTTAAAGTGCACCTGTCACCAGAATATAGGAAGAGTCAAATGTTTTCTGAGCTTAGTTCTGTCTACTACCGTAGGAAGTAGGGGGTGATGTATCTCAGGACGGACAGCTTCTAAAACAAGAACTGTCCTTGTTGCCCAACGCAACTTATAGCAATGTTTATTCTATTCTTCAAAGTAGATGTAGGAATTGAAGCATCACACCAATTAAAATAGTCCAGATACAACACATTAGGGTAAGAGGGACATTCAAGTAGAGTAGCCAAGACATTTTGGGGGTCCAAAACAGACCCCCTTCATCAAGGCTTAATGAGAGAACTCATGTATGTAGTCTACTATCCATGCAGCTTGAAACTTGTATTGTGTTGTGATGGGAGTACTTAAGGCTTGTTAGCAGCTAGTCTAGCAATCTTCTCTTTCATCTTTAGCTTCTCTTCCTCTTCTATTCCTCTTCTCTCCCTATTCTATTCCTCTTCTCTCCCTATTCTATTCCTCTTCCTCTTCTCTTCCTCTTCGCTTCCTCTTTGCTTCCTCTTCGCTTCCTCTTTGCTTCCTCTTCGCTTCCTCTTGTCTTCTCTTCCCTTCCTCTTCTCTTCACTTCCTCTTCGCTTCCTCTTCACTTCCCCTTCTCTTCACTTCCTCTTCTCCTCTTCACTTCCTCTTCTCTTTCTCTTCTCTTTCTCATCTCTTCTCTTCCTCTTTGTTTCCTCTTCTCTTCCTCATCTCCATGGTATCAAATACTGCTGTTTACACTGAACTCCAGCAACTAGGGGAACATAGGATGACAACTATTTTGCCTTGCATTCTTTGTATCCACTCCCCCGCACTGGCACTAATCAGCCATCTTTGTTTCATGGAACTGGGTGTTCACCAATCTTCCCACTGTTCCTCTGACCACCAGTACCTATGCAGCACTTACTCAGAAAATCAGTGGTCAGTGACACTCTTCCTGGTCATCATGGACTATGGGGTAGTTTGATATCACGCACGTCATGTTGGCGGACTCAGAGAGGTGTACCCTTGCCCCGTCTTGATTGACAGCTCTGCTTCATAGGAGTGCTGAGATGTTGCATGTGTAATGTCACCTAAACAAATGCATCCAACTTGTCTGTAATATGGAGACGCTGCATTGAGCATTGTCCTGGAGCTGAAAATGTCATGCATGGTCGCTATTTTTCCCTCCTCTCCGCCATGCAATGTAAAGGGTTGTAAATCACATCACCCAGGGGGGCATTGAAAAAATCTGATTTTATACATTTTCGGAATTCAGCTTTCATTGACACCAACATGACGTTCTCCATGCTCCATGTCTTTTTAATTGGCAAACTGTCCTAATAATTTGTTTTATCCGGACACTAATTCTGCCTTTTATTTAGTTCTTATTACAATTGTTATTGAGTTCTGTTTTTATCCAAGTTCTTTGACTGGTTTTATACTACTTTATATTGCTGGATTTTGTTTTACAAATAAAGATCAATAAAAAAATAGATACTTGTAATGCTAGGGGGAATGAGTATATAGTTTCTGGATTTGGGAGTTATTGCTAAAATGTTTTTGCCTTTGTGTGTGTTTGCATGTTTATATTATTATTTAGGGTTTTAGTATTTGAAGCAATTTTCAGCTGTCCCACTCTGCAACCAGACATGGCGGGCAACCACAGGAACCCACAGGCTGGGGAATGGAATAAGGAAAATTAAAGCTGAACTCCAGGCATATGTGAAAGACAGAAATGAATGAACCTCTGTATTTATTAAAAGAGAACTATGGCCAAACCTTTTTTTTGGTTTAATTCTCTTTTGGATCACAGGAGTACGTTTACTAATGTGCTCCTGTGACCCAAAGTCAGCA